GGCCAGGAGGGCTGACTGTGGAACATAGTACCGTATCTTTGATAGTATGCCTACGGTCTTGGAAATTTTTTTGGAAATTTGTTGTATATGTGTTTGAAATTCGAGTCTATTATCAAGGTGGATTCCTAAGAATTTTCCCTCTGTGAGTTTTGTGATAGGTGATCCATTTATCATTATGTTTAGAGACACACCTGTAGCTCTGTTACCAAACTGAATGTAGTAGGTTTTGTCAATGTTTAGAGTAAGTTTGTTTGTTCTCATCCAGGTAGATATTTTCTGTAATTCGGTATTTACAGTACGTATTGGCTAGCATGACTGGGCTCGGGTGAGAGAAGACGTATGTAGTGTCATCTGCAAATAGTGTGGTTTTGAGTAGCTGCGATGCATTTGGTAGGTCATTTATGTATATGAGAAAGAGAAGAGGGCCTAGGACACTTTCCTGTGGGACACCAACTGTAATTGGCAGTACGGAAGAGTTTGCCCCATTTGTGTTCACATATTGGCTTCTGTTGCTGAGGTATGACTTTAGGTAGTTGAGGGAGTGCCCTCTTATACCATAGTGTGACAATTTCATGTGGAGCAAGTTGTGGTCAACTGTATCGAAAGCTTTACGTAAGTCAATGAAGATCCCCAGTGGGACTTCTTTTTTCTCTATTGCTGTATGTATAAATATGTTCTTGCATGTGGATAATAGCATCATTAGTATTTTTATTAGGCCTGAACCCAAATTGACAGGGGTTGAGTATGCTGTGGGAGATGAGGTAGGAATAGATACGCTTATGGATTAATTTTTCAAAGATTTTAGAGAGAGGGTGTAAGTTGGATATTGGCCTATAGTTATTCAAGTCTGTGTGGTCTCCTCCTTTATGGATCGGGGTGACCCTTGCTATTTTAAGAACTGTAGGAAAGGTAGAGGATTCAATGGATTTGTTAAAGAGTGTTGCAATGATTTGTGATAGCACCTGTGACACTTTTTTGTATATAATGGGTGGTAAGGTGTTTAAATCTCCTGTTTTGTTTTTTAGTTTGTTGATAATAAGGGAGACTTCAGTTGGGTTAGTCGGAGCTAGGAACAGTGTGTTCGGGTAGTTGCCAGTGAGGTAGTCATTGGGTGGGGTATCTGAGCTTGGGATTTTATTGGCAAGGTTTTTTCCTAAAGTGGAGAAGAAATCATTGAGTCTGTTTCCTGTTTCAGTAGGTGGGAATTGGGGTTCATCTGGTTTTGTTAGTTCAATTTCACTATTTCGTGAGTGAATATGCACTAAATAGTCTTTATACTGGTCTCAGAGGCCATAAAAGTTACTTGAAAAAATAAAATATTAAAAAATAAAATAAAAAATTAGAAAAAACAAAAACTATTACCGAGTGACCGGCAGTCGGCAATGTTGCTGTATGCGGTTCAATTTCTGTCAACTTCACGCCTCCATATCTCCCTAAGTATTGATCGCAAAAATTTTTTTGGCCTATAATACTCAAAAAAAAAAAAAAACTATCATTTCATAAGAAAAATTATTTTTCTTATTGAATATTTTTCGACCCTGAGAACAAGTTTTGGAGAGGGCCTGTCGACCCTGAAAGGGTTAATCACTACTATGTGTGGGGGCACCCCCAAAAGTGGGCATAGCTAGGCTAAAGATTAGGCAAGGAATAATTGGTTCATAAATACTAAACCAACCTCACCAAATATACCCTAGACAATAAATGAATGAAATTATATGCAATGAATCAACAAATTTTTGTTTTCATTACTCTCTAAACTGACTCAAAACCCAAGCTGCATTAGTAAAATAAGATTTTCTGTTGGATTTTTAACCCTGAGGGTGGCCACCCAGAATAACCCAAGAAGTCAATACATTGAGGACTGTGTCTTATTTCCACTGGTGTCCTTTAATCCTATCCCCCAGGATGCAACCCACAGCAGTCAGCTAACACCCAGATACCTACTTACTGCTAGGTGTAAGGAAACATGTCCTATGTTCCCACCCAGCCAGGGATTAAACCACAGGCACTCAGAATGTGAGCTGAGTGCCATAGGTCACACACACCACAGGTACTGTACCTATGTTAACATTTATTCACACAAAAATGACTACATAACAGTTACTACATACAACACTATTATTTACAGTAGCTATGTAATGTACTGCACACATATTTGTATATTATGGTAGTGCATAGATTAGGGACTAGGCCCTCAAGTATCTTCTATGTATATATTATTAAGCCACTTCTTCAGGCCAGGGTACATACCTGGAGTTTACCTGGAGAGAGTTTCGGGGGTCAACGCCCCCGCGGCCCGGTCTGTGACCAGACCAACTACACTTTAAGACATTCCCATTAGTTATATGCATTACTGGCTCCATAATTAAAAATGAATTACCTAAAAGTAACTGGCAAAAAAGAGACCAGACATTTAAGTCTATTACATAAACATTACAATAGTATTATGATGGGGAAGTGCTAAACCCACAGAGACCATAGAAATAATCAGATTTCATTCAAGAGGAAGATAGGTTAAATTCCCTGGATCAAGAGTCTTTCACCAAAATTAAGGTGCCCTTTGGAGTATAAGATACAAAAATATACAAGATGACTGCCATAAATGAAGAGAATTGTTATTATATTCATGGGGAAGCTCTAATCCTACATGGGATCACAGAAAACTGGAGGTCACAGGCCGGTCACAGACCGGGCCGCGGGGGCGTTGACCCCCGGAACTCTCTCCAGGTAAACTCCGGGTACTTCCATTTTTTTGGATCAAGAGCCCTTTCCCATCACCCCTCCCCCACCCCCCAGGGATCCTCTTTTACTGAAATGAAGGGAACTTGATTTAATGGAATTGGATCTGCACTCACCTTCCTTGGATTGAACCTAAATACCCTCTACACTCATGAGTGGTGAATGACCCCTATGGGCTTAGAGCTCCCCATGAATGAAACAATAATTGAAAAACATAAAGACACCAGTTCTTTACAGGTTAAGTAAGTTTATTTAGGTACAGGTACACATAAGTACAATTATCATACCTAGTATCAGATATGCAAATTACTTAGGATAACCAAAAAAAAAGTTAGTGACTTTGGGGTCTTTGTAATACCTCCACACAATTACATTAACTATAATGTCATCTAATGTAAAAAAAATAGTATCTAATAATTTACTGGACTATAAATCAAATAATTTTTCTTAGGTTAGGCTTATTGTGCAAGTACTGTACATAACACTTTTTTGGGTTATTGTTTTGTGTTATCCCAGGATCTCTACATATATACTATGTATGATAATCTATGTAACTGTATCTATGTATACCTGACTCAACTTACTTAATCATGGGCTCTCAACATGTAGGTAATCTACACATAACACACTATGAGAAATAGCAAGCATCGAACTTAAGCTAAAGGAATCTTATAGGAGTCAGGAATCGCGGGAAGAACTAAAAGCCATAATTGAAATCGAAAGAAACCCAAAGTATTTCTTCTCCTATGCCAAATCAAAGTCGAGAACAACGTCCAGTATTGGGCCCCTACTTAAACAAGATGGGTCCTACACAGATGACAGCAAGGAAATGAGTGAGCTACTCAAGTCCCAATATGACTCAGTTTTTAGCAAGCCGCTAACCAGACTGAGAGTCGAAGATCAAAATGAATTTTTTATGAGAGAGCCACAGAATTTGGTTAACACAAGCCTATCCGATGTTATCCTGACGCCAAATGACTTCGAACAGGCGATAAATGACATGCCCATACACTCTGCCCCAGGGCCAGACTCATGGAACTCCGTGTTCATCAAGAACTGCAAGAAGCCCCTATCACGAGCCTTTTCCATTCTATGGAGAGGGAGCATGGACACAGGGGTCGACGATGAGAAATTTCAATTACTCAGATATGGTAAACACGAGGAAATTAAATCTTCATCAGAGTACAAAACAAATTCTGGCAACAAAATAGAGCGAAACACCAACGTCAAAGACCTGGGAGTGATCATATCGGAGGATCTCACCTTCAAGGACCATAACATTGTATCAATCGCATCTGCTAGAAAAATGACAGGATGGATAATGAGAACCTTCAAAACTAGGGAGGCCAAGCTCATGATGACACTCTTCAGGTCACTTGTTCTATCTAGGCTGGAATATTGCTGCACACTAACAGCACCTTTCAAGGCAGGTGAAATTGCCGACCTAGAAAATGTACAGAGAACCTTCACAGCGCGCATAACGGAGATAAAACACCTCAATTACTGGGAGCGCTTGAGGTTCCTGAACCTGTATTCCCTGGAACGCAGGAGGGAGAGATACATGATTATATACACCTGGAAAATCCTAGAGGGACTAGTACCGAACTTGCACACGAAAATCACCCACTTACGAAAGCAAAAGACTTGGCAGACGATTGCACCATCCCCCCAATGAAAAGCAGGGGTGTCACTAGCACGTTAAGAGACCATACAATAAGTGTCAGGGGCCCGAGACTGTTCAACTGCCTCCGAGCACACATAAGGGGGATTACCAACAGACCCCTGGCAGTCTTCAAGCTGGCACTGGACAAGCACCTAAAGTCAGTTCCTGACCAGCCGGGCTGTGGCTCGTACGTTGGTTTGCGTGCAGCCAGCAGCTAACAGCCTGGTTGATCAGGCTCTGATCCACCAGGAGGCCTGGTCACAGACCGGGCCGCGGGGGCGTTGACCCCCGGAACTCTCTCCAGCTAAACTCCAGGTAACTAAAAAAAGTCAATAGTGACTTTTTTCCATTGATGTCTTAACATGACTTACAAACTGAGGTACTTGATTAAGACACCTACTGCCCTTGTTCACTTTGCAGTAAATAGGTACCTGGGTGTTAATCGACTGGTGTGGGTCGCATCCTGGGGTTTTGTATATATTGTCACAAATGTCTGCTAAGTCTGTCTACCTCGTATCATTTACTTGTAGAAATGAAGATTATTATTACACAGACAAAGATACCAGTTTAAAATTAAAATAAAATGTGAGCAGCTTACTTTCCGTCTGTTTGAGTTGAGTTTGATGTTTGTTAAGAACCATTGTTATTGTGACAGCTGAGGTACAATAATGTTCACTAGTGACTCGGACTCTTCTTCTTGTGTTGGGGTTTCAGGGCCACTGACAGCACACGCCGTATCGAGCCCGGCCGTCCAGTGCTAGGAGAGGAAATTTCGACCAAAGTGGAAGAATGTCTTGACTAATATCATACATCTCTGATACGTCCTGAAGCCAGCAGGAAGGAGCAAGTACAAGCCAATATCTCCCGACGGTCCAGAGGGCGAAACCCCTCCCCGTTGAGGAGGACAGGTAGAGTGAAAGTGTGCACCCCAAGTGTGCGCAAGGCGGCACGGAGAGTAGTCCGTGCAGAGTGATAACGTGAGCACCACAGCAGGAAGTGTTCCCCGTCTCAGGCTGTGAGGGACACCACTGGCAGTACGGAGAGTCCGTCATCCGAAGGCGATATAGATGAGCCGCCAGTCGCGAGTGCCCGACTCGAAGGCGAGTCAGTACAACGTCCACCGAGCGGTTGAGATGGCGAGCCCAAGGGCAGGGGCCATTAAAAGTTCGGACAGAACCCAACGCCGAAGAAGAGAGGGAGTGTGCAAGGCCCTCTTGCCACTGATGACGGATTCCCTTCCAGACAGCCCTTGTGAAATCACTGTGGCCCAGGGTAAGAGGGGTAACACTTGGAAGTGTGTGCGCGAGGGAGGCCGTCCGATCTGCCACTTCATTGCCCCAGATTCCAACATGGGCGGGAACCCACTGAAGGGAGTTGCTCCAACCTGGGCTCCGCAAGAAGCGCAGGAGGAGAGATTGTGTCTGACGAACGAGGACGCGCAGTGATCGTGGACGAGCAGAGCACAAAGTGCCAGGGAAGATTGGGAATCAGAGAAGAGGACCAGTGGTTGTCGGGGAATGTGATCTAGGACAAAAGCCAGAGCCTGGTGAATGGTGAAGAACTCCCCTGCCAGAACAGAATGAGCAGGGTCCAACCGCCACGTTTGACAGTTAGTTTAATATGTTTATTATGCACCCCATACCCATCCTGTGGGCGGTAGTCAAAAGATTACAGAGGTGGCAATATAAACACAAATGCAGTATAATGTGATCCTTTATTGACTACGTTTCGCCCACACAGTGGGCTTTTTCAAGTCACAAACAGAACTACCTGGGGTGGAAGGAACGCGAGTATTTATAGTCCGGCTGAGGTCAGGTGAAGAATGCTGCATCTGATGATGTACCGAGTTGGGTTGTAGAGTCTAAAAACTTGGGTAGCTTGGAAAGGAGACTGGACAAGTTTGTGAGCAGACCTTCTACAGTGTTCTTATGTGGGATAGCGATGAAGAAGTTTCTTGGCAAGTGGTTCAGCTATGTTATAGAAGCCACTATTCTGGTTGAAGTTGTCGGATATAGAAATAAGTGATGATTCCAGGATTCTTCGGTATTGAGTGTTGTTTCTGTGGCGATAAGTCTTGAGTTTCTGTAGTTTATCAAGTGGTTGTGTGAATTACGGTGTTGTACGCAGGCATTCCTTGTGTCGTCAGACCTGCTTGCGTATTGGTGTTCTGAAATACGTGTTTGGAGGTCCCTTGATGTTTCGCCCACGTATAACTTGTTGCAGTCATTACAAGGGATTATGTATACCCCTGCAGAGGATGGAGGCTTGTCCTGCCTACTACTGGTGATGTCCTTGATGGTCGTGGTTGTGGAGGTAGATACTTGGAATGATGTTTTGGCAAAGATGTTGGAAACATGTTTGGCAATGGAGTTGGTGGGAAGGACTATGTATCTCTTCTCGGCAGTGTCTTCTCTGGGTGTGTTGAAGATGTTTAGTGCTCGCCGTCTGCAGTCTCTGATGAAGTGACGAGGATAGTGGAGTTTGGAAAAAATACCTGTTCAATTATAGTGCATTCTTCCTCAAGGAACTCGTTGCTGCAGATTCTGAGTGCACGCAGGAAGAAGCCTATAATTACACCACGTTTGGTTTTGGTGCCCGTGGTGAGAGTAGAAGTGGAGAAGATCGTTTTGGTTGGTGGGTTTTCGATAGACTTTAAAACGAAGTTCGTGGTCAGCTTTGCAGAGAGAACATCAAGGAAAGGAAGAGTGTTGTCGACCTCTTCTTCAAGTGTGAACTGGATTGAAGGCTCGACCTGGTTGAGCTTGTCTTGGAGAGCTTGAACGTTGAAGCGTTTAGGATTTTATGAGGAGAATGTCGTCAACATAACGGAGCCAGGTGACAGACGAAGGAATAATGGTGGAGAAACGTTGGGCTTCTAGATGTTCCATGTATAGGTTCGCTAGGACTGCACTGAGTGGCGAACCCATGGGTAGTCCAAAAGTCTGCTGAAAGAGGTGATTTTCAAAAGAGAAACACGTAAAGCCAACACATAGTTCAACCAGGTCGATGAAGTCGCTGGCTGGAATGGGAAGATCAAGTGAATCGTCAATTTTCTTGCGCAAGAGATCGATGGCTTGTTTAGTAGGTACTTTAGTGAATAGGGAAGTCACGTCAAGGCTGGAAAGTTTCTTGTTCCTGATGTTGATGTTGCGAATGCGATTGAGAAGATCACCTGAGTGTTTGAGATGTGCTGGACTGATAGTGCCCAAGAGTTTCGAGAGGTGTTTGGCGAGAATTCCTGAGAGCTTGTGGGGAGCACTGCCTATTCCCGAGGATATGGGCCTCAGTGAGATACCAGGCTTGTGAGTCTTTGGCAGGCCGTACATTCTGGCAGGTCTGGGGTTGCTGGGCATGGTGTGCAGAAGTTTCTTCCCCTTTTTTCTTTTGAAAATCACCTCTTTCAGCAGACTTTTGGACTACCCATGGGTTCGCCACTCAGTGCAGTCCTAGCGAACCTATACATGGAACATCTAGAAGCCGAACGTTTCTCCACCATTATTCCTTCGTCTGTCACCTGGCTCCGTTATGTTGACGACATTCTCCTCATAACTCCTAAACGCTTCAACGTTCAAGCTCTCCAAGACAAGCTCAACCAGGTCGAGCCTTCAATCCAGTTCACACTTGAAGAAGAGGTCGACAACACTCTTCCTTTCCTTGATGTTCTACTCTGCAAAGCTGACCACGAACTTCGTTTTAAAGTCTATCGAAAACCCACCAACCAAAACGATCTTCTCCACTTCTACTCTCACCCCGACACCAAAACCAAACGTTGGTTTTAATTATAGGCTTCTTCCTGCGTGCACTCAGAATCTGCAGCAACGAGTTCCTTGAGGAAGAATGCACTATAATTGAACAGGTATTTTCCAAACTCCACTATCCTCGTCACTTCATCAGAGACTGCAGACGGCGAGCACTAAACATCTTCAACACACCAGAGAAGACACTGCCGAGAAGAGATACATAGTCCTTCCCACCAACTCCATTGCCAAACATGTTTCCAACATCTTTGCCAAAACATCATTCCAAGTATCTACCTCCACAACCACGACCATCAAGGACATCACCAGTAGTAGGCAGGACAAGCCTCCATCCTCTGCAGGGGTATACATAATCCTTGTAATGACTGCAACAAGTTATACGTGGGCGAAACATCAAGGGACCTCCAAACACGTATTTCAGAACACCAATAGCAAGCAGGTCTGACGACACAAGGAATGCCTGCGTACAACACCGTAATTCACACAACCACTTGATAAACTACAGAAACTCAAGACTTATCGCCACAGAAGACAACACTCAATACCGAAAAAATCCTGGAATCATCACTTATTTCTATATCCGACAACTTCAACCAGAATAGTGGCTTCTATAAACTAGCTGAACCACTTGCCAAGAAACTTCTTCATCGCTATCCCACATAAGAACACTGTAGAAGGTCTGCTCACAAACTTGTCCAGTCTCCTTTCCAAGCTACCCAAGTTTTTAGACTCTACAACCCAACTCGGTACATCATCAGATGCAGCATTCTTCACCTGACCTCAGCCGGACTATAAATACTCGCGTTCCTTCCACCCCAGGTAGTTCTGTTTGTGACTTGAAAAAGCCCACTGTGTGGGCGAAACGTAGTCAATAAAGGGTCACATTATACTGCATTTGTGTTTATATTGCCATTGTGTCGGTATTTTATACCATTTATTTCCATCCAGATTACAGAGGTACTCGCTCCCATCTTGTTCCTCATCCTCATATCCGACATAGACAAGGATTAGTAAGTAAGTAAGTAAGTAAATTTATTCAGGTATACACAATACAGTTACATAGAATTATCATACATAGCAGCATATGTGTAGAGAACCTAGGATAACCCAAAAAAGTCAGACAGAGTGACTTATTTCCATTGGGGTCCTTTTACCTTATTATTATAATATAAAGGTTAATTTTTCTTATATTCTATAATAAGATAACA